AAATTTCAGCTCCTCAGCTCTCCCGGTTCCTAAGTTAGCGATTTTCGCGCCAGGAACCCTCACGGGGCCATACGCGGGAACCACGCATACCTGAAGGCCGAATTTGAAATCTTTGAGTTCTATGTACACAAGGAACATAACCTCAAAATTTCAGCTTTCTAGCTTTTCTGGTTCCTCGAGCTAGCGATTTTTCTGCCAAGAATCCAGGCATGCATAAGAGTTGGTAACGCGATCCTGGGGTGCCACCTGGCCAGGGAACCCACCTGCAAAGTTTTGGCGCCGGAGCTTGCTTGGGTGCCGAGTTGATATACCCGGACAGACAGACACACACACACACGCATACACACAGGGGTCGTTACAATATGCGCTTTCGCATTTGCATATATGCAAAAACGCATAATAATTGGCCAACGCACGGGCTGCCCGTGCGAAGATGCGTTTTTTGCATAGCTCTCCGTGCGAAGATACGTTTTTTACATAGCTCCCCGCAGATTTTTGTCGCTAACGGCACTAGCTTTTTTTTCCGGCAGATGCTTCTAGCTAAAGAAATTTCAGACTGGCTGCCAGAACTGTCAGAAAACATCTCAAAATTCTAGTCTTCTAGCTTCTCGAGTTAGCAACTTACCCGGAAGAAATTTTCACGGGCCCGTACGTAGGTACCACGCTTAATCACGAGCAGGGCTTGACTCGTCAATACCCACTTGGACAGGGAACATCCCCCTAAGATTTCAGCGTTCTAGTTTTTCAGATCCCCGAGTTATGAACTTACCCAAAAAAATTTTGGCGGGCCCGTAAGCGGGTACCATGCTTTCCCGGGGGATGGTTTTCAGTGCATTAACATCTACTTGGACGGGAAGCATCGCCCCAGGATTTCAGCGTTCTAGCTTCTCAGATCCCCGAATTATGAATTTACCCCAAAAAAACTTTGGCGGGCCCGTACGCGGATACCATGCGGTTGATGGCGCCCATTTTGGGGATTGGGGCCGGCACGTGCATGCAGATTAAGTC